GGTCCCCCACACCTGCTCCGGCCCTCTTCTCCCTTCCGTGCCCCTCGCACGCTCCGTGCCTGCGCACGCTAGACTCCAGGGCCCCTCGGCCCCGACCACGTGGCAATGGCGCCACTTCTCCTGTTCCCACCAGCGTGGCACCCCTCTGTGGTTCACTCTCTTCTCCCCCAGCTCCTCCTCCGTCTCTCTCTTATATCCCCCCCTCTCACGTGACCCAACTCCACCTCCTCTTCCTGCCCCGGTCTCCGCCCCCACTCATCCCGACGACCAGGCTCCGCCTCTCTAATACACCAGCCCGTGTGAGTGGTGCGGAGGCAGCGCCCACCCTGTCCTTGCTCGCATTACACCTCTATATCCTGAACATGTCGTGGCCCAAGCCTCCAACACCTAGTATTCATAGGCAGTCTCCCATAAAACCAGTCTCAACTTTGCATAGCTTCTAAAATGTAATAAGATCGGGTGCATTCAGGGTGATTGAGTCATAGGCGATATCACTGGGGCATTGTGACACAACTAGGGAAACCACATAAATAAACGTGGCTACAGCCTATTTTCTAATTTGGGCGATGATAACATGACACAGTGATCTACTCTTGTGCGTTATGCACAGTGTTGTTTGTGTTATTTGTAAGCCCTCAGCATGTCGAGATGTATAGTCTCAAAATAAATATTCTTGTTTCCACTATTCTAAGTTTCCAACAACAGGCAAACATGTGTAAAGGCACACACCCTTTGTGCATATTCAGCAACCATAAGTCATGCAAAGACCATCAGCAATAATGCTGATCTGGACTAACTTCATACCACCCATCCTTTCTCCCTCTCTCTGCCTGTGCCCATTACAGAAGCCCTCTCAAGTCTGCAGGGTCATTTTTTTTTGATCAGCTGGTGAAAAACATCAGCATAGTTGCTGAAGGTTTTTTGCATTGCTGATGTTTTTTTTGCATAATGCACAAAAGGCTGTGAGCTCTTTACACAATGTGGGTGTGTGTGTTACTGTTGTTTTAAGTCCGGCAAAACAACCTCCTACCTCCTTGCGGTGCCGGACGGGCAACACTGTCGTGGGCAGTGCTGTGGGGGGAGGGCCGTTGGCCTCTCCCCTCATGGCGTCTGTGACCACCACAGTGGCTAAACGGGGGCTCTGGACGGGTGCGAGGGGCTGGTAACCCCTCCACCTTCAATTAACCACCACTAAACTACGATATAAACAAAAAGCTGTAACAAATAAGCTTGTGCCGGAGGCCCCGGGGGGTCAGGCTTTTATGACGTCTCCTGGCCAAACCCTATATGGCGGAGCCAGCAGATTGAATCTTCACCCTCGGGGCTCCTCCAGAAACAACGAAAAACCATTGCGGATGGCCACGTGGAATGTTCGAACGCTCACTGCAGAGGAGAGGCTGCCACTCCTTTGTCGGGAGCTGGACCGGTACTGCCTGGATCTCTGTGGCATTCAGGAGGTCCGGTGGACCGGTTCTGGCTCCTGCCACCATGAGGGGTGGACAGTCCTCCACTCGGGGCAGGAGACTGCCAAACAACAGGGTGTGGCTCTTCTTCTGAACAAAAGAATGAAGGGGGCGTGGGAGCGTGGCGGTGAGGTGTGGGAAGCTGTAAGCCCCAGGCTACTTTGGGCTCGCCTTCCCATCAACCGGAGGCGAGGAGTGGTGGTCGTGGTTACTTATGCCCCCACCGAAGACGAACATCCGTGGAGGGATGCAGGCAAGGCCGATGAGTCAGATGCCTTCTATGACCTCCTGTCACAGGTGCTGGCTAAAGTGGCCACTCGGGACAGAGTCATCTTGTTGGGTGACTTTAATGCCCGAGTTGGTCATGATGCTGGCACCTGGTCTGGAGTGATTGGAAGGCATGGGCCAGATCAGCTCAATAACAACGGTAGGAGGCTGCTAGATTTTTGTGCAGCCCATGGGCTTGTAATTACCAACACGCTCTTCCGGCATCGGCGCATCCACACAACATCATGGATGCATGCCGGGTCCAAGCAAGAACATCTGCTGGACTGCATAGTGACAGATCAGCGGATGCGAGCCCATGTCCTTGACACCAGGACCTACCGTGGAGCTGATCTGCCCTCTGACCATCGACTTGTCATCTGTAAGATGTGCCTGCCATTCTTTCACTCCGGTGGTGGGTGTACACCCAGGACCCCATTCCAACCAAAAGTGGCCTGGTCTCAGTTAGCTGATAAAAGTTGCAAGCGAGAATTTCATCATCGCTTGCAGCTGGGGTTGGCATCGTCCCCCACTCCACCTGATGTCGAGGGTAAATGGGCGAGGTTTAAGACTGTGACTCATGCAGCTGCAATGGCTGCTTTGGGTATGCAGTCCAGACCTCCCCAGAAACCCTGGCTGACAGAGGAGGTGTTCAGGTTAATTGAGAAAAAGCGACAGGCCCACTCTCATCGGCTACAGCATACCACGTCGGAGAATGAGGAGGTTTACCGCAGCCTTCACTCGGAGGTTCGGAGAGCCGTAAGGCGCTGCAAGGATGGGTGGTGGTCACGGGTTGCTGAGGAGATGGAGTCTGCCTCAGTGGCCCGCGATCACAAATCACTATTTAACTCCATCAAAAAAGTAACCTGCAGCGCCACACCAATTACCATCATTAGGGGAAAAAACGGTGATCCAATCTCCGACCCCCAGGAACAGGTTTGCAGATTTGCTGAGCATTTCTGTGAGGTCCTGGGGGAAGGAAAAATCTCTCAGCCAGGAAAACATCATGGCACAAAGTGGGGATAACCCTGCTGAGGCTGCCGTGCCTCAAATATTGGAAGAGGTCACCCCCTGTGAGTGGCTAGCTGAGGTGCCATCTGTTGAGGAAGTACTTAAGGCGATCAGGAGTCTGAGACCAGGAAAGGCACCGGGCAGAGATGATCTCCCAAGCGAAATGCTGAGAGAGGGTGGCGTTTGTGCACAGACTGCCCTATATGACATCATAACAACAGTCTGGACCGCTGGACGGGTACCGCAGGATTGGAAGGATGCCCTGGTGGTCCCCCTCTTTAAGAAGGGGGACCGCACAGACTGTAACAACTACAGGGGCATCTCACTCCTCAGTGTGCCGGGAAAGGTCCTGGCAAGGATTATTCAACATCGCCTTGCTAGGCACGCTGAGGATAGACTTGCGGAACCCCAATACGGTTTCAGGAAAGGGCGGTCCTGCACAGATGCCATAGTTTCTGTCCGTCTGCTACAGCAGAGGTGTAGGGAATTCCAACAAGACCTACATCTCTGCTTTATTGACCTGGTCAAGGCCTATGATACCATCAATAGGCCTGGGCTCTGGGTTGTTCTTCGTGCTTTCGGAGTCCCTGACCCTCTGCTCATGATCATTAAGGACCTTCATGATGGTGAACGGGCCCGGGTAAAACTACGTGGCCGGGAGTCGGAGCCTTTCCCTGTACACCTTGGGGTGCGACAGGGATGTCCTCTGGCTCCCACATTATTTAATATCTATTTCGACTGCGTAGTTCGTGAAGCCTTCAATAGCTGTACCGGGGGAATTTCCATTTGGTACAGATATAATGGGAGGCTGATCGACGCCCGGGTGCGATCAAGGGATGGCTCCCTATTGGTCAACCACGTTATGTATGCCGATGATTTGGTAATAGCTGCTCATTCAGAAGAGGAGTTGGAGACGCTGCTGCTGAGACTGGAGCGTGCCACTAAGAGGTGGGGCCTTACCATCAGCCCCACCAAAACTAAGCACCTGCCTGGGTATTTTGTACCATCGGACACTCCACCCCCACAACTCCCAATCGGTGATGGGGAAGTTGTGGAGAGAGTGGAGAGTTTCCCATACCTGGGCAGTGTGCTTATGACCGGCTCCAGTTTAACAGCAGAGGTCTCACTCCGAATCAGTCGAGCGGCAATATCTTTTCATCGGTTGCGTAACGCTGTGTGGAAGCTACCTGGTCTGTCGCTCCGCACGAAGCTTCAGGTCTTCTCGGCCACGGTCATTCCCTCCCTTCTCTACGCTTGCGAAACGTGGACCCCCCTAATGGAGCATCTTCGCCGGTTGGAAACATTTAGGCTGGCCTGCCTACAATCCATCCTGGGTTTAACCAGGCTGGATTGTGTGAGGAGCTCACAAATCCTTGAAAGATCTGGGCAAAGTCCCATCGGGGAGCTCCTCCGGCAGGCAAGGCTGCGTTGGCTGGGTCATGTAGCCCGCATGCCCAGCCACCGCATGCCTAAACAGCTTTTGTTCGGCCGGATCGAGGGGGCTAAACGGGCGCGGCACGGGCTAAAGAGATGGAGTGATGTGGTACAGGAGGACGTGGAGCTGAGTGGACTTGCCGATGACTGGTACCAGCGGTGTCAAGATCGGCCTCAGTGGAGGAGGCTCGTGAAGGACGCTACTGGGCAGTTGGAGGCAGTCGCCCTACAACAACAACGGAGGGTGGAGGAGCGATGCTCACAACAACGAGCGGAGCGCCGGGTGGCTAAAGCACAGCAAGTTGGTACAGTAGGGGGCAAAGGTGGTGCATCAGCCAGTCATCTCGGTCATCTCGGTCAGTCGACCAGTGGCACCTGCTGGGTCTGCCCCGTGACCTCCTGCCAGCGGGCGTTCGACACGTCACGTGGCCTCAAGGTGCACTTGGCCTGGCACAAGCGTCGTGGTGACGTCACCGCCACTTAGTGGCGAATGGCGGTTGTTGTTGTTGTTGTTTTAAACGTAGGGTTTTCAGGCCTGCACTATTATTCTGTTTCAATGTGGGGTTTTTTTCCTCAGCACTTGCAGGTTTGATTAATATAAATGCAACCACTGTCTAACCATGCTCTTGAATGCCAACTTGGCTCTTGAACGATCATGAATTGTGCAAGCCTGGACAATGGCTCTATTGTCCACAAGAACTGAATATTTTCTCGGCGCGGCGCAGCTTGGATTCTGTTACATTATACCTGAGGGCGAAATGAAGTGGCGTGTGTGTATGCGTGCACGTGATTGTGATTTGGCTCGGCTGCAGAGCACCCCTGCCTCACCGCGCAGGAAGACGGTGAACGCTTGGTGTCGGACAGCACGGGCGCCTCGGGGAGCCCCGCGCAGCGTCGCCAGGGCTGCGGGATCTACCACCTCTACGAGCTGTTTGTCTGCCGGTTCACAAATCATGATCCACGATTCACTCGGACGCTGCCAACCGTTCTCCACATCACCGTGAAACGTCGTACTCAGTTTATAAATGTTCTGGCTTGGCTCTCCAACACACCAGTGTGCTGTACACTAGTGACGAATTGGCATGTTCTGTTTATGTGACAACCCTTACGAGTTGTCTGTGTCGGGTGGTGACGGGTTTTAATGACACATTTATAAATTTACGCAATCTAACCCAAAAACCTCTATTATGGATGATATTGGTCGCGAAAGCCTACGTGTTAAACACATTTTTTTCCATATAATTTTTTCTCAACACTGAATTTGGCGAAATTACAGTTCTGAAAATTAAATATTTCGGTGCGATTGTCACACAACAGACGTGTCTCAAAGTAAGGTAAGCGAGAAGGTGTGCGTTGTCTAAAAATAATTTGAAGGGAGCTCAAAAATAGCGTCGTAAAAATCATGTTTCTGCAGGGCACACGGGTCTGCATGGGCAGGACCGCCCAGAGGTTCCTGGATGCCCACGGCCTCTTTACTCATATGAGACAGCAGATAGTTGTGGGGTCCTCTTTTGCGTGAAGTCTTTGGGCATATTGCCTCTTTTGCCCGCTGTCTGGGCAGTTCTTATTTGCAAAAGCTCTCAGCGGATTTCTTCACCTTGTGACGTAACACAAGGTGATAAAAATCCGAAATAATGGAACTCGATAAAAGGATAGCAACAGCACAGACCTCCTATGGTCCTGCACTTGACATCTTCGTCCATGCTGGCACCACACAGGGAGCACGTGAAGTTGCTTCGCATGGTTGAGGCTTCGTTGGCGCCATGGGAGTGGATGCGGATGTGACGATAGCCTTTGACAATTGGGTACAAGATAACTTTAACACCGTTTAATTACAGTAGCTTAGCAGAGGGCCTTAAGACCACAGTACTGAGCAGCCAGCAGCAAAAAGAGCTAAAGTATAACAGGTAGGAGTTTATAATCTTATAGAATCAAGTAATTATATATCCGATTAGCACGTTTGGCTGCGTACAGTGCGAAAGAGGTTCAACATACATACATATAATGACATTAAACTGCATACATCGATGGTGTAATTGAGGTTTCCCTCTATGACTCTTGTTCTTTGGGTTCAAGAATAATAATAAAACGCACTTGAGGAAGCAAAGAGAGGGAACCTTAACCATCCTCCGCTCAGGGCTCAAGAACCCAGCATTGAGTGTGGAGTAATAAGGTGAAGACGGGCTGTGAGATTGGATGGGATAAAGCTTAAACCATGAACCTGCTCTTGGGCAGGAAATTTGAGAAATTTAAGTTTTGATAACAGCAGTCAGAGTCAATATTTTAAAATATATCAGTTATTATTTATACTGACCACTGTAGTTAAAACACCCCCTATGACTCACCTGGTATGGTTAGGCCTTCATCTAGCAGTAGATTGAAAAAAGGGCTTTGAACTATTATCGAACTCTAAAGGTTTGTTTCAGGAGGGCCTCATCTTGGATGCCTGCTTGAATCTCATTGTGGGAACGAGCCTCGGGCTGTTTGGGATTAACCATGATCTCCACTGAGCCACCCAACCTTGTACAGCCCTTCTGTCAGTCCACTGATGGATAAAGTTCCCCACACCACGCCATGCGGGGCATAGGGGGACATCTGACCATACAGAAACTATATATGCCAGTGTGTGCTGGTGAAGGTGGGGAGCATAGACGTGTGTAGTTTGACCTTCCACCACCCGACATAGCCAAATAAATAAAATTGCCATGTACAGTAAAAGTGTTTAATGGGCCAATTATTATCGGTTCCAATTCACCAGTAAGTTGAAATATTATTTTCAAAAACAAATTTAGCAATTTCTAGCCCAAACATCAACTATGAATCATAACATTAGCTGCAAATGGCTGCATGTTATTACAGCGCAATTTTACCCTTGCTACCAACAATGTAGCCCCACATTAGCATTTAACACCTGTATTCTGCATGGCCATCGGCCCTACAAGCACTATTCGGGCTCAAAACCTGCTTAGCTTCTCAGATCTGGCAAGACGGGGCAGTCTGGCTTGTTTGGTCATAGACCACCAGTAATGAGGGACTGCAAATGCGAGCGCAAGACGCCATCACCTGAGGCTGCTGGGCACATCCTCTCGGAGCACAGGAAGCGTGCACTCTGAGTGTACTGCGTGACGGTCGTGACGGAGACCACCACTCCCTCCACGGAGAAGAAGCGCGGAGGCAGGAGACCGCGGGGGAAAGTGGCGGCGCTGAGAGTGTATGCCGGCAGCTGGGGCACGTGGCTGAGCCTCTGCACAATCAGGATCTTCCACCAAGAAAAATGAGGCGAGACAAAGGGTTGAACAAACCCAGACTCCACTCGGTGCTTGCCAAACGTCGGCAGCCTGACAGAAAAGCGTGGAACACGACTGGACTAGGAATGTCACTCACTGCTACCATACAACACGATAACCCAGTGTTAGCTGCGGTGGTGGAAGCATTGGTTCTGAGTAGGGGAGTTTAACAGCTGGCTTTGTGGGGTGACAAAAGCATCGGTATCAACCCCCAACCCGCCGAGCCACCTTTCATCGCCTCTTGATAACATAAAGTAGGTGGCGGACAGGAATGTTTGCTCAAGCCATTTCAAAAATAACTCTACATCAATGGGCCTTGCATTAACTGTATTTCAAGTGGTTGTAATTATTCAAAAGTGCTTTTAAAAAGATCACATGAGGGAAACGCAGTTCATTCTTAACTTTTGTGAAAATGCAATGGGTGCCAGGCCGGTGAAATGATTGGCGGTGCAGTCCCACGTGTGAAGGAGGGCCACAATATTCTATAAAATCCCGACGAAATAGAAAGCTGTCTTGAGAACACATGTGCGGGTTCCACAAAGACTGCTCCCAGCTGCATACATAAGGGCAATGAGCTGTAAATAATTATATTTTGTTTTAAGAAGTCACATGCTACCATGCCTTCTTTATTTATCCCATGTTGACATTGCATTGCATCATTTCACATTGCAGCAAAAGTTATTTTAAACATGAGAAACCGTGACAGATATGAGTTTTGTGCTAAAACACGTGGAAGATATTAAGATCTAAGCATTGCTTTATGAAAAAAGTCTTAGGCATAACAATTGTATAAATCTTCAAAAAATGAATGTTATTACAAACCTGGCTTTCACATTCTATGGATTCCATCAAAGAGAGGGCTTTTATGGCTAAAAAGACGACCTGTGAGCACATGGAAAACATACGTAAAACCACGCGTTACAGAAGTATGCTAAAACATTTCCGTCGTTTTCAGTCCCCCATGTGAATTTCTCTTGACTGGTACCCAAACAACATACAAAAGCAATATACCATAAAGAAACATACGTAAAGCAATACAAATGTTCCCAAAGCAGAAACATTATAATCATTCATACTCTTAGGTTTTTTTCGGTAAAGTCACGTAGGTAAAAAAATAATAAAATAAAAATTAATAAAAGTTATAATAAAAATTACATAATACGGCGTTATTTATTATTTTATTTTTATTATTACTTTTATTAATTTTAATTTTATAATTTTTTTACCTACGTGACTTTACCGGAAAAAAAACCTAAGAGTATGAATCCTTGCAGTCACGAAAGCTTCAAATCTAGAATTATAATCATTGTTATTACCTGCAATATATATGAATCAGAAACATGGATATTGATTAAATAAAATGAAATATTTAACACTGAAAAGTGCCCAAACCATTGGAGAGACACATGCTTGGAATGACACTGAGAGAGGCAGAAAGAGGAACACACGGATTAGAGAACTACACAAGTTAGAGGCATCACATTGACTGGTAATAAGAGTAAACAGGACAGGTCGCTCAATGGAATGATGGCCGGTGATCGGGAACAATGATGTTGTGGCAGCCACAGAAATGGAGCGGTGAAATATACTCGTGTGCAGTTGCTAAATGCAATGTTGCATCGGTGGAACGTGAGACATGGCGACGGATTGGGGAGGCCTTCATCCAACAGTGGATTGATAATGGCTGATGATGATGGTGCCCACCTTCCGAAAAAGGTACATTGCTTGTATTGGCCGATTCAACACCATATTCCCAAGCCTTGCATCAAACTCTGTCAGGTGGCACGGGTTAATCTTCAAGACGAAGCGAAAGACTGCAGCAGACTGCACCGTCTCTGTTGTGCAAATGCAATGGAACACGCAGCGGCTACTTTAGACAGGATACAGAAGAGACAAGGAGCACACGCTGTCTACTTTCAACATTCATACAATCACTGTAGAGATGATCCCTTGACTACAACGTTGATAACATATGTGCAACATTGAAGAGTGAAACACTTCTGGAATGTATATTAGAACATGATTTTGTGTGCTAAAATGGTCTTCACCTGCCCTTGATTGTACTTCATACTTGAAAAACTTTGGACCCACATAGTGTAGGTATATCTGAGTTGCTGGAAAGACAGCGTTTGAGCTGTATTATCTTTGCCATTTCTAAGACACAGAATTCAAAACGTGGAATTTCCCATTGGAAACATGCAATTAGTTAAAATTTGAACATAATTGTACGTAAGAAAGTGCATACAACTTGTAACTATGTGAATTTATTTTGAGCGGGTGTCATGTATTTAGAAGTCTAGTTATGTATTACAAATGTATACGTTTAGTGTTGAAGAAAATGTACATGTAACTTTTTTGCACCGTGAAATATATTTATCCATTTAAATTAGTCCCTAATATAACTTTAGTCGTTTAACTGTAAACATTTAATTTTAATAAGGTTGCTGAATAATTTGTAATCATATCTTATTTGGTCGTTGCAAATTTACTTTTCACCATGTACACGTGTGTATGCTGCTTCCACCTCTGGAGTTAAATTATGCTGCACTATAAAACACAAAAATCTCACTGCCTCTTGGGAGTCTTTTAGGAGGGTCCTGTGTTGGGGTGTTTGGTCAATTCCATATTTATTGATTGGCACTCCTTAAATTATATAACATTTTCCAGATCAGTTAAACTGAAATGAGACGTAACTTATGACTTGGAGACGGTATTGTGCACTCAGTGGACACAATCATTTCGTTTATAAGAGTGGCGCACTGAACCCCTTTCCAGCAGTGCCACCTATTGGTGAATTTACGACTGGCCCATGCATGAATAATGAGCCACACTATAGTTTATAGCATGCACACCCCCAAATATATAAACGAAAACGCCCATTGCCCGCACTTTTGTAACAACTAAGAGGAGTCACGCTGCAAATTAATCGGACATCTAATTGTCCGTGTTTATCTGCGGGTTTGTTGCGTACAAAGTCGTGTTCTGGAAAAAGTGCTGAATATATTTTAAATGCGAGAATGTTTTCCCCTTGTTTCTGGCAACAAAACAGGTGTTAAGATGTTAAAATACCAAACTTAAACCTTTTAGAAGGAATCATGTCTGCATTAACCACAATACTTGTAAGTCAGAATGCAAACAAACAACGTACTCTGATAATATATGCATTGTCTTTGAAACTGATTGGTCTACACCAGCTTTCTTTTGAGCCTAGTCTCAAAACGGTGTTAGACCAGAGGACGCCAAAAGGTCCTCTGGTCTAGCGTCCTCTGGTCTAACACCGTTTTGAGACTAGGCTCAAAAGAAAGCTGTCTGGTGTGGACCAATCAGTATCAAATACAATGCATATATTTTCAGAGTATGTTTTTTTGTTTGCATTCTGACCACAGGTATTGTGGTTAATGCAGACATAAATCCTTGTAAAAGGTTTCAGTTTGGTGTTTTAACAACTTAACACCTGTTTTTTTGCCAGAAAAAAGGGGAAAACCTATTCTCATATTTTGGTACTGGCAAAGGTCCCATATTTTAAATGCTTATTTTACCCAGATAAGAGGACTCACTCGGAACATTCCTTCATCCATGCTTAGCCACATTTCACAGATTAAGGTATTTTGTACCCCGCACCTCCGATTAGCACGGTTGGCTACGTGCGGTGCAAAATAAGTTAAAGATACATTGTACTAAGGTGAGTATAACATGACCTGCCAAGTGCCCCCCCAGTGGTAGAAATTCTACACTCCCATGGTTGGGACGTGCGCCACGGTGGCAAAATGTTAACTTCCTCGCCTGAGTGAGTCCGATCCCGACCATGACACCCTCCACGTTTAGAATCAACATGCATTCAGAGTAATTGGCTGCAATACATTTCTACATAAACCAACTTCATTGGGCTCTAATTTGTGGCCAGGTAACTTAAGAAAAATAGCTATACAAGTATAGCACAGTGGGCCTTACCTGGTAAAAAAATAAAGTTAATTTAAGGACAACAGCTTGACTGCCCATCAAGTGGTGCAGCTTCACCAGGCGCTACTCATTTCACCATCCATAGAGGGACCCTAGTGAACGAAGATTGTGGGGCTAAGCTAATCCTAGCCACGATTATAACACCGAGCGTGGTGGCGAACGCCTCAAAGCCCAGCAGCGCTTGGTTATAAGAGATCTGTGGACATTCCTACAGCAATTGGACTGTGCTATGTGTAGCAGATTAAATACTGCTCAGCAAATGGGTTGTGAACGCAACCGTCGGACCTTTGAGTGTTACCTCAGGGTACAAATGTGCCCAATTGGGATTACACAAAGCAGGAGCAGTCATCGCCCCCTTTCTGCCAGACCAATGACCCAAGTCGCTCTTGCAAATGAACTGAATCCAGGTCTCTTGAGCCCTCGCATGCGTGGAGAGCTGTCTCCAGGTACGGCTGCTTTGCTTACACATAACCCCTCATTCATGGGATTTGGCCAAACAACCTATTGCAGCAACCTCCCATTGCGGGATCCATTGAGCCTTGAGACTCAATGAGGGTTTTGCAGATTAATAAATGACGTTAATCCATTGCAGCCATTGGGGTACTAAACATCAATAGCGTGATGAATATACATCGTAAGGCATGTTCGGTGTGCTACATTTACTAGACCGTTGATACATGGATTTCTTCGGTTACACCAAGAATCCATTAGAATCGCCTCGGCAACATTGCCACTGCTCAACACGCGTCTTCCTACATTCACTCTTGCAGCAATTCTCCTGAGGGATCCATGCAAACATCCAATGAACAATTCCCATTCCAGTAGAGTGTTAATCACGCAAGCTCCATGGCCACATTTGGTCAACCCACTGCACAGTGCGAGGTGGAGCGGGTGACTTGACCATACTTCACCACGCTGGTCAGTGCGGGGTTGGTGAATGTTGGTGAATGTTGGGGAGCGGTAGTCGCTCGCTGCCCTGCAAACTTGGCGACCCGAGTTCGATTCCCGCTCACGGCCTACACCGGTGACGATTATCTGAATCGGTCCTGGGCCTCCCCTAGGTCGACTCAGCCTCAAACAAGTACCTGGTGCGGTGTAAACATCGCCAATAGGGTGCTGGTCACCCACCAACCCCCCTCGTGTGTTGTGCCGGCCTTCACATGTGCTGCTCGCTAACACCACTTGCCCCAACAGTCTGTGGAGGCTACATGGGGGATCTTTGTCTTTGTAGTTGCTACTCGCTAACACCACTTGCCCCAACAGTCTGTGGAGGCTACACGGGGGGTCTTTGTAGGTGCTGCTCGCTAACACCACTTGCCCCAACAGTCTGTGGAGGCTACACGGGGGATCTTTGTAGTTGCTACTCGCTAACACCACTTGCCCCAACAGTCTGTGGAGGCTACACGGGGGATCTTTGTCTTTGTAGGTGCTACTCGCTAACACCACTTGCCCCAACAGTCTGTGGAGGCTACACGGGGGGTCTTTGTAGGTGCTGCTCGCTAACACCACTTGCCCCAACAGTCTGTGGAGGCTACACGGGGGATCTTTGTCTTTGTAGTTGCTACTCGCTAACACCACTTGCCCCAACAGTCTGTGGAGGCTACACGGGTGATCTATGTCTTTGTAGGTGCTACTCGCTAACACCACTTGCCCCAACAGTCTGTGGAGGCTACACGGGGGATCTTTGTCTTTGTAGGTACTACTCGCTAACACCACTTGCCCCAACAGTCTGTGGAGGCTACACGGGGGGTCTTTGTAGGTGCTGCTCGCTAACACCACTTGCCCCAACAGTCTGTGGAGGCTACACGGGGGATCTTTGTCTTTGTAGTTGCTACTCGCTAACACCACTTGCCCCAACAGTCTGTGGAGGCTACACGGGTGATCTATGTCTTTGTAGGTGCTACTCGCTAACACCACTTGCCCCAACAGTCTGTGGAGGCTACACGGGTGATCTATGTCTTTGTAGGTGCTACTCGCTAACACCACTTGCCCCAACAGTCTGTGGAGGCTACACGGGGGATCTTTGTCTTTGTAGTTGCTACTCGCTAACACCACTTGCCCCAACAGTCTGTGGAGGCTACACGGGTGATCTATGTCTTTGTAGGTGCTACTCGCTAACACCACTTGCCCCAACAGTCTGTGGAGGCTACACGGGTGATCTATGTCTTTGTAGGTGCTACTCGCTAACACCACTTGCCCCAACAGTCTGTGGAGGCTACACGGGGGGTCTTTGTAGGTGCTGCTCGCTAACACCACTTGCCCCAACAGTCTGTGGAGGCTACACGGGGGATCTTTGTCTTTGTAGTTGCTACTCGCTAACACCACTTACCCCAACAGTCTGTGGAGGCTACACGGGTGATCTATGTCTTTGTAGGTGCTACTCGCTAACACCACTTGCCCCAACAGTCTGTGGAGGCTACACGGGGGATCTTTGGTGAATGCTGGGAGCCAACAGCAATGCAAGTGGTCACAGCACTGCCCCCCTCCCCTCTGCCGGCATTCACAGCGCGATGGCTGTGAATGGCTGTGAATGCCGCTTCGCGGTGCGGTGCGGGGCAGCACCGCGGCGAGCGCGGCGGGAAGCGGCGATGAGGGACGCGAGGCCGCCGCCGCGGTCCAGGAATCCGAGCGCCGCCTCCCGCAGAGACCACTGCAGCTCCGCCTCCCCTGCCGCCATGGGAGCCGTGGTGACGTCGCCGCGGCGTGCGTGATGACGTCACCGCGGCGTGCGTGATGACGTCACCGAGGCGTGCGCGATGACGTATTTCAAAACACTGGCTGTATCTACCAATGGGAAGCCGGCATCTTCCACCACTCGGCGCTCCACCAATGGGAGGCTTCCTGCATTTTACAAACGCCCACACGTGACCGTCACCGCGTATTGGTGAGTATAAGGGTTGTTATTCTTGTTTTTTTCGGTAAAGTCACGTAGAAGGGAAGTAATAAAACAATAAAAATATAACAATACAATTCTCACGACGTTTCGATTGCAACACAAGCAATCACCATCAATCGAAACGTGAGAATTGTATTGTTTTATTTTATGATTTCCCTTCTACGTGACTTTACCGAAATAACCAATAATATGAATCCCTGCAGTCACGAAAGCTTTAAATCGAAATTTATTTGGGTTGTGTTGAGAGTGGCCAACAGAGTCGGGTCAGAGCACACGCTGGAGAAACCAGGAAAGAGATAATAGTTTAGAGAAAGGGACTGAGCCAATGGGGAAGATTATCTCATCTGGAGGAAGAGCTGCCCTCTAAATTGTATATCCAGGGTTTTCTTGCTTTATGTGGATTCGGATTGTGCGACTTCACGTATATTCAGCAAATCTATTTCTATGCAAAATTCGAATTGAATTAACTCATGTGGCTATGTGGTCGGACGTGTGTCAACATTGTGTGTACTGTATGTGCTGCTAGACTGTCTCCTGCGGTGTCTCGTGCGGTGCAATATGGGTTGGGTGACTGCGGTCTATGCTGCATGATTCGCTTTGTGTGCCCTTTTTTAGAATGCATCTACTGCCGTATAAAGCAAGGGAAACATGTATATACAGGGTGGCCAAAAAGTCAGGACAGAGAGGGTTATTATACAGTGGCCCAAACGTCAGGACACAAGGTTATTATAAAGAGTGGCGCAAAATATTTGATATTTTAGACAATATTTTATCTATTATCACTTGACCTCTTGACCCAAGTAATCAGCACCCGACTGCTCTCCTAAGTCCATGTTTTCCTCTTATGCCCCATACGAGATGCATCAGCCGTGTTTTATGGACGGCCGCTACATCTGCACCAGCCCTGCTACTACGTTGTCATCCTTGTACTGAAGCTGTGCAACGGCCTCCAGCTGGATGTGGCCAAATCCCACCGGGTAATGTCCTTTTTAGGACATTTACATGGACGATAATGACATCAGAAAGCGACAGCTTTACACGCTAAAGCTCTCTTGCCTCATTTTCAGAGGTTAGTCATTTGCACACTTATTCAATCACTCATTCACTCACCTCTCATTGCTCCCTCACACTCTCTTACTCGCGTATTAACTTGCTTGATCGCCCCCACGTGCATTATTATGTTCTCTCAAGCCCATTTACTTTATAAAGTCAACTTATCTCTAACTTGTGTTCATTCATTCATGTGCTCCTATTTCTGCCCCCACCATATCACTAGTCAGTTGCTTAACTTCTCCCAAATTAAATAATTTATTCATTTCTCTTTTAATCAGTCACTAATTCCACTCTTAAATCATTTCTCATTCTCACCCATCTTGTCATCCCTACCTCATGTCTCTCAATCTTTTGATTCACTCATTGTTTTTTTTCCTTCTATTTTTGGGTTCCTCTTCAATTTCCTGAAGTTACTCTCAGTTCTTTGGCTCTTTCGGTAAATTCACGTAGATAGGTTCAAAGACAATAACAAAAAACTTCAACGTTTTGATCACAACTCAAGCGATCGTCATCGGGAGGAATTAAACTCCTTAAAAAAAGTTTTTTAAAAACAACGGTTTTATTCACAACTTTGTTTAACTCACCCTCGAGAAGTACGTCAATGATCCGGCGCCTGCTCCCACATCAACGCCTACTTGAATAAATTGATTACTTCCGTAACTCGTTCACATGGAGCAGGCATGCCTGAGACACGCGGCGCCTGCTTTTTGTGCGAGACGATTCGACAGTTTAGGGACCGCGGCGTTTTTGACCTACACAAAAATATAGAATTAATAAGGTGTTCATACTAAAATTGTAATTGCTTGAAATGAGCCAATTCATTGATAAATTCATGCCGATTCTGAGTACGTTTGCAAAATTTGAAATTGATTGGACAACAGGAAGTAGACAAACTTTTGATTACAATATTTGACCACGACAAACAGGAGTGAAGTTAAATAAAACTGTTGAAGATAAACTGCTTAAAGAAAGTTTTTTTTTTGAAAGCAACGGTTTTATTTTAAAGTGCACTAGAAAGTAAATAACTCAATTGGACAACGGGAAGTGAACGAGATCTTGATTACAAGATTTGACCACGACATACAAACAGGAATGAAGTTTAATAAGTTGATTGGACAACGGGAACTGGACGACATTTTGATTACAAGATTTTACCACGACATACAGTGGAATGAAGTTTAATAACTTTTTTTCACAACGTCGTTTAACTCACCGTCGAGAAGTACGTCAATGATGCGGCATTTTTACCTACCCAAATACATATTTAATTAATAAGCCGCCCATAAATGGTTAATTGCTTTAAAAGAGCCAATTAATTGATAAATTGATGCCGATTTTGATACAGGCCTGCATTGTCACCGGATCTGAGTACTTGTGCAAAATTAGAAATTCATTGGACAACAGGAAGTAGACAAAATTTTGATTACAAGATTTGACCACGACAAACATGAATCAAGTTAAGTAAAACCGTTGAAAAGATGACGATCGCTTGAGTTTTGATCAAAACGTCGTAGTTTTTTGTTATTTATTGTTATTTTCTTTGAACCTATCTACGTGACTTTACCGAAAGACCCAAAGAATACGAATTCCTGCAGTCATGAAAGCTGTAAGTCAAGATTTACTCTCAGTTATTTGGGTTTCCCTAAATCTGAGGTAACCCTGTCAGTTTATTGCATTGTGTACATGTGTAGTGAGTTCAACTGAGTCACAGACGTACTTGTTGGGGGCGCTGGTCCCCGAAATCCCTCCCTGCTCCGTGCCTATGGCAGGGGCTCTGCTGTTCGTCGACCCCTCGCTACTCTGCGAGCAGCTGCTGCCGTCGCTGGGCTCATCGCCCGACGGCTCCCCTCCCTTGTCCATCCCTCCGCGAGCTCGTGTGAGAGGCATAGCTCGCCGCACGCTCTCGTTCACCTGTAAACGCTGCGTTGTCTCTCCATGAATCACGCGCTATTAAACGGGGGTCAGGGGTCGGAGGGCGAATGACGCTGCCCTCACACTGCGCGAGTCCATGCGGCGATAGACAGAGCGGGGACCTGCGGACGCACCGACCCCTTCCCCCACACTACGAGCGCACACACCTGCACACACGCGACACCCACTCGTGCGCCGCTCCGCGCAGCGCTCACTCACGTGGCGAACCGCTGTGTACACACGCGCTCCCACACGCGCAGCTCCGCGCAGCGCTCACTCACATGGCGAACCACTGTGTACACCCGCGCACCCACACGCTCACACTGCTCGACAAGATCACGCGAGACCACGCTTCGCTATTAATGATTTATTATCTGCTACCTGGTAATTAATGTTAAATCAGTGAGTCGACGAGGCTGGCTTATCCCACTAAACCTGTACCTATTCCCTATTTATCGGTTATGACCCTACTTCACCTCCTTACTCACTGTTGGGTGCCTACGGCGGTTTGCTGCTCCCTGTGCTAACAGCGTACCTCGGTGCGTCGCACGGACGTCCGGGTCGCTGGCTGGAGCTGCGTCTGGTCGCCTGGCGCTGGAGTAAGAGAGCGATTTCCCCTTTGCGCCCCCTATTTATCCTCCCTACCTCAAAGGGATGCGGCTCTGAACAATGGGCTCGCGCCCCTCTGGCACGCGCACGGCGGTTCCGGGCGCTGTTGATATGCTAATCAGTGTGCGGCGTAAATCCTAATTAGTCCCTTACCCTCCCTAACAATGGGGCCTGCGTGCTCAAGCGTAATTATCCCAACCCTCCATGACTATGCGCAAGAGCCCCTGCGGTCCCGCTATTCATGCTGTCCCGTCCCTCCCCTGCTTGCCCCGTCGACCCGTGGGGGTGTGTGTGGGGGGAAATGCGCCTCAACCGCGGTGGCCGAATGCCCCACGCCGCAACCATACCATCTTAAGGTCGGTCGCAGCGCCGCGGCGCAACGTAGCACGGGGGAGGTCGTCCAATTCCCTGATCGCCGTAAACCGTGAGAGTTAATCCCGATAAGGGTTTCTCGGATAAAAACCGGCCGATCAGGTGATCTCCCCTTCCAGCTCTATGGGTGGGGGAAAATGCGTGCGGGTGTGTTCATGTGAGGTGAGGTGAGGGGGACGCGGGGTTGGCTCCGTTGCTTGGTGGTGGCGAGGTCGGGGATTTGGGCGTCTGCCGAACGGCTTCGTGGCGGCGGCATCACATAGCCCCCCGAGGTGCCAGTCCCCGTCCCGGGTTGACTGGAGCACCTCGCTTGGGCCGCGCCCACGAGGAAACGTTGCGGGGTCCGGGGGATCCGTCCGGACCTGGTGGCTGGCCTCGGGGTGGGTGGTTCCGTCCTCTGTAGCTCCTGCGGCGGCCTCCTCCTCCACTCCAGCGGCTCTCCCCGTCCCCCGGCACCTGTGGGCTGGGGCACAAACTCAGCAGCGGAAGGGTTTAGGGCCCGTCGTCCGCGCCGTCTCCGGACTGGATCGGGGCGTCTCGGGGGCCCGGCGGGGCCCATGTAGTGTGCGAGGCCCCCCAACACGAGGGGTGCGGGTACTCCGGGATTTCGGGGCCTTCGGGTGACGGGCTTCTATCTCGCCGGGGCCGCTTTCCACGGTTTTAGGCGGCGGACGTTGACCACCGTCTCTCGACCCCTCTCCCCGCCATAAATTAGTACCGTCCAGGGGGAGATCTGCCGCACCATGGTCCAGGGTCCCCGCCAGTAGGTCGTCAGTTTCCCCACCTGCCCGGCCCCGACGCGAGGGGTGTGTAGCCACACCTTAGCGCCTGTCAGGAATAAGGGGGGTTCCA